AATACTACAAAAAATATATACGGTCTTTGAGAAACTAGCCAGGCATTGGTGGCACATGCCTTTGATCCCAGCACTCAGGAGGCAGAGCCATGTGGATCTCTGTGAGTTCGAGGCCAGCCTGGTCTACAGAGCGAGTTCCAGGACAGGCTCCAAAACTACACAGAGAAACTCTGTTTCAAAAAAACCAAAAAAAAAAAAAATCTTTGAGAAACTGAATGAGGGAAAGCTCAACATCACCTAATGTTACTGTGAATAGCATCTTTCATGGGTCTTTAGGATAGAGAGATCAAGAAAATTGCATCATCATCATTCAGTTAGGAAGTGCAGTGTGGTCAGGAACTGGCATTTGATGAGAACTATGTCAGTATAGTCAACTATAAAAAAAAAGAGCAGTTTTTCCATATGTTCATTGGACTCTCTGAATTTCCACCTCCTTATTCTTCATGATATTCTCATCTTCCAAGAAACTGCATTTAAATGAAACTGGTAACTGTCCGTACTGCCACAAGTAAAGCCTGGCCAAGAAGGAATAGTTGTCTTTCTACATGGGAAGTTAGAGGCCATGTAGATCAGAAAGCTAAATGGATAAAAAAGAGTCAGGAATAAATCTGACATGAGCGGGCATCCAAGTACAGCATACACTTTGAAGATATGAATCTGGAATTCTACAGGGTCAGACTGGAACCAGATGGGATGGGAAGATCTTGAGAGGGATACTGGGGTGAGCTTCATGGATCTGGGGAATGATTTGGCATTCATTCATCATCTGGACTGAGCTGGGTGGATGTTCTGAACTTTTGAAAACAAGACTAGACTGGAGAAATGTTCAGAAGGTAAGAAGGAGCTTGTCACAGGCTTCTAAGGCTGTGCAACCAAAGCACGGCAAACTCTGATAAAAATTTTTTTCTGAACACTATCAATCTATGCATACTCTACTGAAGTAATTCATATTTTAATGAATGAATAATTGTTAAATTATTGATTTGGTTGTATCAAAAGCATTGCCCTCTTCTACATACATGATGCGCTTGTGGGGAAATTCTGCTTCATCAAAACATGTTTCTATAAACTTCACTGTAATTTCTATATTAAGCTAAGAGCTCAGGATCACAGACATAAGGAAAATTCACAAACTGCAATGTGAATTTTCAAGAGAGAAAATTCTTCCTTATTATACTGCCTTTCGCTCTGTTTTCGGTATTGATCAAGGCATTCTAGGGTCTTGTCACCTTTGGCTCCCAGACTGTCTTCACGGCACATGAGATGTGATGTCAGTCTGGACAGTCGTTGAATAATCTTGGAATCCATCTGAATGTGCTTGATCAAATGCCAAGACTTTTAAATGACTGTGTACTTCATTTAAAGTATGCTTGTGCATGCCTTTCTGGATGATAGACACCATACAAATGTGTGACAAAAGCACAGAATTTAATAGCTTGTTATGTGACAAAACACAATCATTTTGTCACATGGATAATGTTAACATGGGGCTGTGTAAATTCTGAAAGTTTATAACTTGTGTCCAATCTGTATCAACTCTTTTTTTTTTGAAATGTCTCCTTTTTCACTTAAAAAATATGAAATTCAGACTTTAGCCACTTACTTGTAAGTCTCATAACATAATACATATTGGTACTAGAAGTACAATCTTAACTGCTAGGCACTCCAATATTTCTATTTTTATCATACAAAAAGAATATATAAATTCATTGGTGCCCAACTGTATGTAGAAACTGAAATAACAGTTATATGGTAGAGGTTATACTGAAAATCATTGCCCAAGGATACCTGATGACATGAGCTTTCTCCGTGGAATCTCAAAGCTCCTTAACATCTAGGGATAATACTATGTTTATTTAGTATTGGGATAGGTGAAGAAATAAAAGCATACGTGGTCATCTTGGGTTTGTGTGTGTACATATTCATGTGAGTGCATATTGTATGTGAGTGCACTTTCATAAATGTGCATGTGTGTGGAGGTAAGAGATTAATGATAGGTTTCTTCCACATACATCTCCATGTTATATTTTGAGATAGGAATCACTGAACCTGGCACTCACTATTTCAGCTGGACTGGCTAGTCAGTCTCAGAGATCGCTCTGTCTCTGCTGATCCACACTAACGTTTTCATTTGGCTTCTGTGGGATCTATCATAGTTTCTCATGATTGCACAGCGAACATTTTACCAAGTCTTCTCCCCAACTCCTCAGCCTAGTTTTAAATGAAAATAGCCAAATTTAAATTTTTTCTAAATCTTTCGATTTAGTTCTACAAGAAAACTGGAACTTGGTTTTCTTACAGACTGACAAAATTGGAAGGTAGCAGGACCGCTAAAGAGGGGAAGCATAGTGGGAGTGCCTTAAGTCAACCAGGAGCATGGTCTTCGGAAGGACTGGGAGAGCCATGTCTGTCTCTGGCTTTGCATTTTGTGAAATGTTCTTTTTCTGTCTGCCTCTCTTCTATTGTCTGTCTAGATCCCTTTCAGCCTCTAAAACAGCCAACTCAATAAGCCATTTTTCTTTTAATCTTAACTTGCTTCAGGGAGTACATCAGTTTGAAAAATAGACCATTACTGGGCTGGGGGTGTAGTTCAGAACAGAACACTTGCCTAGCATATAAAAGGCCTTGGTTCAGTTTCTAGCATCAAAACCTGAAAAGCCTTGTCATTTTCACTAGTTGAATCTGTACTTCTTTAATCCTGATACTTGGCAATGATTTGACTCTTCCTTGGTTGTATGGATATGATGTCATGAAGAGCACACATTGTTAAGACCAGTGTTGCCAGGTAACAATGGTTTTATTCTCTCCCCTCATCTTCTCCAGCCAATTTGTTTCTCTGATTCTTTTTTATGGAAATATAACTTACACACAATAAAATTCACATTTAAAGACTTACAGTTTGTTGGATTTTAGTATTTCTACAAAGTTACACAAATATCAGAACTACTTGATTCCGACTCATTTCCGTCTCTCCAGGGAAGCAGTCATTCTGTTTTATTCCAACTCTGTGGTAGCACTTGACATCCATTATTTCCCATCTCTGAAATTGTTTGCTCATTATATGCGATATTACAAACCCTCTTGTAATATTTCATATAAATGGAATCAAATAACATGTAGTATTTGCATCATGGAGCCTAGTGGTGTTGTGTTCCACTTAGCATAATGGTTTTAAGGCTCATTTATATTGTCATATGAATCAGTATCCTATTACTCTTATCAATGAACAGTAATACATTATACAGCTATGCCACATTTTGTAGATCTACTCATCATTTGATAGATACTTGAGTTGTTTCTGTAATCAATACTACTATCAACATTTATTTATAAATTTTCTTATGGACATGTTTTTACTTCCTATAGGTGCATGTCTAAAAGTAGAATGGGTGGATCATTGCTAACTGTATGTTTATTCTTCTGGGAAGATGCAGGTTATTTTCTCATCTATTACAGCATTCCATGCTTCCCCCAGCAATATGTGAGAGTTACAGTTTTTTCCACATTCTTATCCTTATCAACACTTTTAACTGGGCAGTTCTACCACCACCATATTAAAGAGTATCTTATTGTCATGTATTTCCAAGATTACCAGGATAATTTCTTAGAATGAAGAGTACTCTAAGAATTCTCATTTCTGATTTTAATGTAAATAGTGTTAATGTACTATTACTACTATTACTGTGCTTCTACTTTCTCAGTCTCATTTTTGTTCAGTAATATGAAAGTCATTTTCAAATCAAAGGAGTCCCTTCGGTGGCATCTTTAGCATTTACAGCCTTCACTAGCCTCCTACTTGTTTATCTCTTAGGAGTATCATCTATAAGGACACGGTTCCTATAGATGATACTATAAGAACCTACCAGCTTTATTTTTACATGGTCATCATTTATGGAATTCTCTGTGTAAATGTACCAAGTTGTGAGACTTCACACGGGAAACTTTCCAACATGCAGTGACATGGTGACAAAGACTTTTTATGGCAAACATGTTTGGAAAGGAAGAGGGAGTAGCATGAGGGGAGTTGGCATGGGGAGGGATTTACTTGCTTAGAGCTGGATAACATGCTATCCCGTTTTACGTTTGCTTATCTCAAAAGGAGAGGTATTTTATCTTTAGAAAAATACATTTCATTCTTTGATGTTTTAAGATAGGGTTTTATTGTATTAATTACAAAATTGTGTTATACGTCATTAGAAACAGAAACAGTGAGTCTGAGAGGTGAGTCTGAGATTATAACACAATTAAGAGTGAATTCTCACATTGGCTTGTAATTTTACTTTTATGCATCTTTTAACTAACTCTTTAGCATTTTGGTTTTCTTAAGAGATGAAACTGAAGGAGATGTTTTTAAGATTTCTTCCTGGAATAACAGCATCCTTCTGTTTCATTGAGGATTCTTCAATAGGAGTATTTTTCTCCTACTGCTTATTTTTAAGGTTGTTATATCTGAGTTCTGATTATTAAGTATGCCACATTTTAAATGAATTAAAGGGAAAGCTACAGGCATCAAGCAAAGTAATAGCATAATGATGAGTTTAGAGAACACGTTTTGCTGAGTCATAGATTTTTGTGAGTATAGAATATTCCCTTCAAAAATACCTGGTGTGCCTGTGTTGTCTGTGGTTGCCTTTTGATTTTGGTTCCTAGGGATAAGTTCTACTGTTTTAAGTCCATGCTAACAGCCACTAAAATGAAGACTGACCAAACACTGATTTATAAGACATTTTACTTGCTAAGATTTTAGACCTATCTAGGGCCTTAACCTCCAATGAGTGACTGTTTCCAAGCAGTTGTTTTCTCTGAACTAAAAGTTGGTTGTAAAAAGAATCTTGAGTTTTGATTTTGTAGAATTACTCTCTATATGTGTGCTAACTGAAAATTTTTCCACCCTCCTGTGCCTTATTCTGAACACTGGGTATATGTGTGAGACTGGCTGGATGCAGCCATTGCTGATTCCTTACTAATTCCTTTCTCATTTACTGTGTTTATTTTTGCAGGACGTTTTTACCCCAGAATGCAAATTTAAGGAGTCTGTGTTTGAAAACTACTATGTGATCTATTCTTCAACCCTGTATCGCCAGCAGGAATCAGGCCGTGCCTGGTTTCTAGGACTCAATAAAGAAGGTCAAATCATGAAGGGGAACAGAGTGAAGAAAACGAAGCCCTCATCTCATTTTGTACCAAAACCTATTGAAGGTATGAGAGCAGCTTCTTTTCTTCCTTGGACCCTGATCTATGTGTTGGGAATGGTGCTTCTTGTCTCCTGTTCTGTAGGCTCTGCCTGAAGTGAAAAGATTCAGAAAATACAGTAAGAACATTCACAGCAAAGAGAAAAATAGAAAGCAGAGAACTCTTGTAAATATGTGGTACTTAGAAAAAAAAATGTACTTGAATATGGAAGTTAGAAAATTTTTGAATATAGAAAATTAGTGTCGGTTACTATTTGGAATGTAATTTCCTTCTTTGTTGAATGCTATTTAATCTTTTAGAACACCTCTGAAAAAATAATACTATTTTTATAGAGCTTAATTTTTTTCCAAATAGTTTTATAAATATGTGTGATGCTGATCTCTTCATCCCTGTGAGAAAATACAATAACAGTTTGTGCCAGTTTTCTTCACATTTGTAAGGAACAATAGTGTGTTGTTTTATTTAATCTGCAGAATTTCCATTCTCATTTGAGCCTAACACTTGCATGCCTTTCACCGCTTAAAATAGTGTTGAGTGCTTCAAATTGAGCAGGGAAGAAGCCTATCGAGAGAAACTATTTTTTTTCCTCCAAAGTTCTCTACTTAGGATGATGAGTGGCCATATTTTCAATGCAGACCCAAGAATTCATTATATATTGACACTTACCAATATAGCATTTTTCTCTGGAAACTATGATACTAACTTAAACCATGGCTCAGTCTCCTTCTTGGAGGAAATGAAAAACATGGAGACAGTGCACTGCAACCCTGACTTAGTCTGACATGCTCTCCTGTGAATGTTATAGATGTGGTCAGTTGGAGAGTGTGCACAATGCCAGCTGCTCAGTGTTCATATAGTACATGTGACTATAGCAGACTATAGCAGTCAATCACAGTCTGGCTCAGACTGTTCAGTTATGTTCAGAACGCCGGGTGGAAGGGGACAGTCACTACTCCCAATGCCTCTTGAGCCTTTTCTCACACCTTGAGCCGTTAGTCATGTGAAACTGACCTTGTACTATAGTTGGCCTCATGTGTTCTATCCCACCTGCCCTAATTTTCATCCACTCATCTGCTTACTAACTTTTACAAAGAATGAATTAATGAGTCCATACTTCTGCTGTTATTTTGCTCTGATTTCTCTACCAGAAGAATTAAGCATTATTTCTCATATCTTCTCTATGTTTTTCTGCTGATCATGTTGTTCTAGCGATGCCCATTGCTCCCCTATCTCTGCTCATTCATGGTTAACTCATTTTTAGAATGAATGTAATATATTTTTTCTCACACCTCTCTTTTGTCATGTGCACTATTTAGCATATCATAAAGAGATATTTAATCAGTTCTCGGTTGAACATGTGAAGAAACAAAGTAAGTGTAAAGACTAAGAACTATATTTTCCAGAGGATATGTTCTTTGAGGTATGAAATATAGTTATTAATGGCAATAGTGTAGCAGAATTGGGAATTAGAGTAAGTATTGTCATGTCTACAGAAAGGAAGATATCATTAAGGACTAGGCCAGACTCATACAAATGGGGAGAAGGAGGAATCTCCCAGACAAGACCAAGACCATTCCATGTACACTATGGTTAAAGGCAGAAATGTGCCTGTTTCAAAATACATACTACCCTATAGGAAATATACTCATTCTTAGGAATGCTTTGGCAAATAATAATTTCAATTCCTGTATCATATTTAACAGTTAAGCTGATGTATTCATTTTTTTGCAACAGTAGTACAAGGCCATTAACAAACTTCAGTAAAGCTAGAAAAATATATTTTTAAAAAAATCTATGTTTTATTTATTCTTTATATAGATCATGGAGTCTTGCAGAACCCCTTCCACTCCATTCCCCCAGAGGAAACATCTATAATCTGCCTCCTTAATTGGAGATGGTTCCTGTACTCTGGTTAGTTGAGTTTCCTCTTGGGGCAGATGGCCTTGTGTACATGTCAAAAAGAAATGCGTGGGATGACTGTGCTCAGAGTCCCAGATGCGCTTCAGTGTTCTGCTTATTGCTGCATTTTGTAGAAATAAGGGAAGGTACAAGAAGACTGTTACAGTGCTGTAAATTAGAAGTAAGACTGGCCTCACACAACGTGTGCCAATGGCAGGTTACTCATGCTATCCTCTCAGAAACTGAATCTGTTGGTGAACTCTCCAGAAATGGTGCCATGCTGTCCCAGTTCGGGGACCTTAGGTGCTTGAATCTTTCACATCTTTCATCTTAGTGCCCTGCTGGGATTCTTTAGATCTGCACAGTGTAGCCAGAATGATGCACAAAATAGAGCTCCATGTAGAGTACATGCCTAAGCCTGTGCATTGCACTCTTAGCAAAACTACACGCACTGTGTGTGACCCTTCCAGCTTCATTGCCAGAATCAGAGGGCAAGGAAGAACTGGAAGAAGGGATTGAAAAAAATCTATGCAAGTTTTCGTGTCAGCATAGTCTTCAATAGCTGCCACACAATCTTAACACCTCAGTAGCAACACCTAGACGGCTAGCCTTACTTAGGTACAGAGGAGATGAACATGTAGCCTTTTGACCGATGGCTTCATGCCAAATATAGATTCAGGTCTGAAAGATCAGTGGTAGAGTGGTCACTGAGACATCAGTTTCTGCTCCAGATTGAATCTTCTTCACCTTAGAATGTCTCGGGTTCCCTTAATGGCATTATTTTATGTGTTTTTTCTTCTAATTTTGCTTTTACTGGTGAATTATAAGGATTTCCCCCTTGATACTAGAAGGAAAATAGTCTCTGTTTTTAAATTGGATTCACTAATACTTGAATTTAATTCCAAGGTCCTTTGACGAGTTCATTTGCAGGAAAGACCTCTTAGATGTGTGATGAGACTCACTTCTGAAGATGGAAACTTAGCTGCTTTCTCATCAAGGACCATTTAATTCTCTATCGATGTATTTGACATTTTTCTTAAAGAGCAAAGTATACTTAATCGAACAATATTGGTCAAGTTTTATAATCCTTTCTTCTTCTAGGTGGTGTTTTAAAGTATGTCTCAGTTATTTTCTGATTTTTATTCCATTTTTAAGAAGTAGTTTCCAGAATAATTTGCTTCACAAATGTTGAAGTTGAAGCAAAGAAGTAAGTGTAATTAGTCCCAAGTCATGGATTCTGTAAGTAACAGAGCTGGAATTCAAGCCAGAGCAGTCTGCCTCAAGCAGTCAAGTGCTGAACTTCCATGAACATGGGTGACACAGGCTGGTCTGAAGTCAGAAAGGCTGTGGATGTAACCTAATTACTAGACAAAAGGACTCAATGCTCTTGAACCCGTATCTACTTATGATTGCTTGTCCTTTTCTTCTCTTGGAATATACTACAGTGTAGAAATAAAACTCCTTGCAAATCCTTGAAGAGATTCATGCTCTTATAAGTTACTTGATAAACACAAATTTGTCAGGTCCTTATGCTTCATATATATTCTGTTATAATTATAAAAATATGCAAAATTTGAAACACTTTCCATCAATTTTTTATGCAGTTATATTTTATACTATTGGGTTTCTATTTTTAAGAAAGATAATTGAGGTTATGTTAGGCTTTTCTTTTCTGTGTATGAGAACTTCTTCCTTCCTGGTGGGTTTCTAAACTATTCTTGCTATATACAATCTATCAATTTAGTATTCACTAGGCAGGTTATATATATTATCTCTATTTAAAAGAATCACAATATCCCTAGTTTATTCTTCTTTTATAGATGAGATGACTAATATTTAAACCAATAAGGAAAGTGTCCAAAATCACAAGTCTACAAAAATTCAACAGTGAGATTACAATCCAGGAATGCCAGATCCAGTGCCTTAGCACTTGACCCTACGTTATACTGCCCTGTGATTGAGAACAAGCTATGAATATCCAGCTACGCAGAGAAGTCAGTGATGATGAGATGGCAAAGTAGAAATGCCGTACCATGTATTAGTTACTTTTCTGTTGCTATGATCAATCACCATGAGCAAGGCAATTTACAGAAGAACAAGTTTATTTTGGTTTATTGTTCTCAAGAGTTAGAGTCCAGCATGGTGGTAACAGCATGGAAGTAGACAGCAGGAACAGAAGCTGAGAACTCACATCTTGAACTGCAAACAGAAAACAGAGAAAGCAAATCCAATGTAGAGCAAGGCCTTAAATGCTCTAAGCCCACTCACCCCTAGTCACATTCTTCCTTCAGCAAGACAGCACCTCCCAAACCTTCCCAAACACTATCACCAACTGTAGACCAGGTATGCAAATGCCTGAAACTATGGGGCCTGTGTCTCATTCAGACCACTATAGACCATGACAAAAAACACATAGTAAGCTGGTCTTTCAACCCAGCAGAATTAAGACAACGTTTATGAAGTGATATAAAAATACATATTGAAGATGAGTGGATGCGACCATTAATGGAGTATTATGTTCAAACTGAGTTAAAAATAATTAAGAATGCATTGCCTTTGTACCTGTTAATTTAAAATATGATAATTAAAAGGGAAAGTTTACCTCAAAAACTAATAAGATTTAGAATGAATGGATTTAAAAAAAATGAAGATCCAATAATCTTAGAAATAAATAACTCAGTGAGTCACCCAGTCCTACAGTCTGCTGCCCAGAGGAAGTGCCCTTCCCTAGTATATATAGACACAGTGAGTAGACAGAAAAAGAAAGCCCATGTTAAGTGAAAACAGTAGCAGACATAAGCACCTATACTTATATCAGATAAAATATACTTTGAGATAAACCATATAAAGAGGCAAAGAAAGAGACCTGTTCAACAAGGAGCTATAACAATTATTATAAACCTATATAATATATAAATAAGATATAAAATGCTTATATACTTATCATGTTTAATACTCTTAATTTCCCACTATGTAAAATAATTTGGGATAAATGATTTCTAAAGTTTTTGACAATGAAATTTTATGGTTGCCCCCCCCCAACAAGTTTATAGTTGATTTTTTTTCCCTTTGGCACATCTACTGATGTCTAACAGGTACATTGTTAG